TTTGGTTTTATGACTTTTCTAAGTAATGGTTTCTTGCTGCATTGCCCAACCTAATCCTGAATTCCTGGGCTCCACTAATCCTCCTCTCAGCTTCCTCAGTAGCTGAGACTAAAGGCACACATCAACAAAGATAAGCTTTGCTGTTTTCATTAAAGGGCAAGGCATGTATCTGTACTTAAGTCATTATCAATGGCAAGAAAATAAAAGATAAATACTACATCTTCTAAATGGAGACAGACTATTTCCTAGTAAAAGTTAAGGTATAAACTACAAGTGCCCATTTCACATTGGATTTGGAGTTTACACATCTGATTTTAAGCATTTCGCTAGACAACAAAAACCTCAGAATAGGTAGCACCATAATGGCCTCAGGACAATAGAAAGGAAAACACTAGGAAATCACAAACAGGGGTTACAAATGCTAAGATTCTGTAATCTGTGAAGTGGGAAAAAAATAAAGGCAATAAAACCAAGTAAGGAAACTAAATACTACTTAGCAAATGTAACTCAGGATTATCTTTAAGGAGAGGAAAGTTTACAATATCTAGGGTTTTGTTTTCACCTGCTTATAGAATGACTACAAATGCAGTCCTCTAGTAATACCATCTTATCTACCACTTTATCCCAAAGTATTATCAGCTCCAAACCTGTGCTTCCAACTCTCTGTATCTCCTGAGTTTAGGAAACTTATATTCAAGTACTTATATTCAAATACTTCTGATTGAATTCCTCATGGGTACCATCAATTCACTGTGTCCAAAATTAAATTCACTATGTATCTTATTTATTTCTTATATTCCCTTAAAGGAAGTATCAATGCCTAACCAATTACTAAAAAGACAATACTCAAACTGTCTTGACTACGTTCTTATAACTCCCTTAGCCCACCACTTACCAAGGCCATTTTATAACCCCAGGCACCTTCTAAGGCCCTCCCCTTGTCACTCCCGAAGAAGCCGGGAGACAAAACCTTCACTGAAGTTGCTGGACTACAATTCCAATCTCCCCTCTATTCTTACTGCTAAAATGACCTCTAAACAATAACCTTTTAACAAGATGCTAAAATACCTGGCTTTTCTCTGAGCAGAACCTGTTCCCTTGCTTCTATTCTCCGGTACTTTTATCTACACCAGCAAGAACCTCTAGCAAGCTCCCCTCAAGAACCAGCTCAGCACTATTATTTTATCTTCCATGAAGCAAGCCTTCTCTTAGAAGCACCTTACCTTCATTACAGATAGAATGCCAACGACTTGCATTCTCTGCTTTCAAAATATTATTTTAAATTCTATCACTATTCTAAGTTCTAAGGTATTTATGTACATCTGTCTCTTCTACACTGGAATTCATTTACTAAATGCATTCATTTACTAAATACTTACTGACATCTATCATGTATTCTACAATAGATTCTACTTCAAAGGCAAGTGAAACGTAATTCCTGGACTCAAGAAGTTCAGACTCATAGGAAGAGAAACATATATAATTATAAAACAATATAGTAGGTAAAATCACAGATATGCATCAGCTATTACAAGGCAGAAGGGTCATATCATCTGATTCAGCTGGAAAAGAGAAAAGGGATAAATAAGAAAGATGACATCTAAGACCAGTCTCAAAGAATGACCAGGATGTAACAGATTAACTGATACAGCCAAAAACAGATTAACTAATAAAGAACAGTAATGGATAAAGAGAACAGAATAACTGACAGAAACAATAATAAGCACTGGAGCAAAAAACAATGCCCCATGGGAAAGCCACTGCAGAGCTTTTAAAAGGCAGATTGTGATAAATCATTAGAAATATGAAATATAAACCACCCTGTCAGCTATATGCAATGTTAGAAGTAGGGAAGAATAGAAGCAGAAAAATCTGGGAAGGGGTGGTTATCTTCAACTCTATATAAAAGCCAGAAACAGGCAGATCTTATGAACTCTCTAGAGAATCAAATCAACCCATCTTTGATATTAACTGTACAGAATAAGAGAAAACTAGCCAGGGCTGGGGATTTAGCTCAGCGGCGTAAGTACCTGCCTAGCAAGCAGGCGGCCGTGAGTTTGATCCCTGGTACCAATAAAAAGAAAAAAAAAAGAGAGAGAAAACTAGCCATTACTACAGCATTTTAAATCTGAGTAAAAACTGGGTGAACAGCAGGTCACCCAGAATAGTAAAAACACAAGTTACAGGAGGAAGGAATGCACTGTTTTGTTTTGTGGATAAAGGAGTGGAGTTCAGTATGGGACCTGTATAGTACAGGTATAAATAAGACCTCAAGTAAAGACAGCACTAGAATATGTAAATACAGTATATAAGTCATTTTCAAAAGAATACTCTGGGTTAGAGACAAAAAAATTTTAGTTATTACTACATAAATAACAATCTTAAGAGCAAAATAGATTATGAAGACAGAAGCAGGTCAAGGATAGATTACTGGTAAACACAAACATTTAAGGGTGAGGTAGAGAAAAAGCCACTGAAAATGACTGAGAAGGCATGCTCATGAAGGCAGAAGAAGAATCGGCAGTCGGTGGAATCCTAGAAGATAGCAGAATAGCGTATCCTAAAAATGTGTCTGGCAGTGTCCAAAAACAGAACAGCTGAGAGATATAAATAAGTAAATATCCAGGGGATTTGACAACTAGCAGGTTAATTGTTGACCTTTTTGAAAAACATGAACAGTAAGCTAGGTCACAGTGGGTTCACAAGAGGAAAGAGATTTATTCACAAATCAGGTTTTAAGAAAGGGTCCAGTAAAGAAAATGCCACCTCAAAGTACAGATGAGATAGATCTGACTGATGGAAAAACAGATGAATTGAGAAGGACAAGGAGTATCTGGCCTCTAATAAACTGAGCAATAATTCAATTTCTAAAGCATAAAGTTCTTCAAGGGCAGGGGACATACCATATTTTTTTTAATTTCTCCCTGACTAGTAAAATTCCTAGAACATAAGACATATGCAAAGATTCAATAACAAAGATGATTACATGAATGAATTCAGTCTGTTTACTTTCTAACATACCAAACATTCATTCACTAAACAGTGAGCCATAAAACACTAAGAATAAGCATCTTACCAAACGAGCTAAAATCATTTTATAGAAGCATATATCTACACTACTAAAATTTATAAATGATTCATCCATAGTTAATGAATTTATTGCACAGATCCCTGGAATCTGGAATGATGACCTACTCATGCTAAGGTTTATTCAGTCTTTTGCTGAGCTTTATTTAGTCTTTGCCATTCAAATATAGAATCTATTTTACCATTTAGCCCTGATCAATATGAACAGCTAAATATGAAACCAGTGTACACTGTCAAAGGCCTCCTTCATGTGCCTGTGTCTACCTCCTTTACCCACCCACAGCCTTGAGAATTATGCTATGCTAGCTATGGACTTTTGCCCCCCGTACCCCGAACCTGGTCTAGACCAGGTATAACTGACACAAAGGAAGCCAATTCATAGTCTGGCCGATACTATGCATCTTATGACCTGGCTCTATCAGTAGTTTGATCCAGACTCTCAATAACTCGAAAAGTTGTAAAACTGTGGGCAGTTGGTAGATAAAGTTGAAAAAGGATGTATGTGTTCTGGTACTGGCACAGCCATTTTGAGGGAACATTCAGGTCAATGAATAAGCATCGATGCCACTGGAAAGAACTGGAGATAAAGCAGATCCATGTTGAAATGCCAAGATGAGAGCACTGTGGCTGCTGAGAGATGGAGACAGTTGAGGTGTAAGTTTTTAGTTCCCATCCATTTTACTCCCATGGAATCCTTTAGACATTAGGTAACTAGGGTCTATACCTGACCCTTAAAATCAAGAACCACAAACATCCGGAAAGGAAAGGAAAGACAAAAAGATGTCAGAAATGTTTGCAACTTTTTTGTTTGTGACTTTGTTTTTAAAGTCACTAAGCAGGCACGACATTCTGTAACTGACACAGAAATAATCAGAAACTTGATTTCTCTTCCTAGTCTGCTTGAATGTGAACTTGGGCAAATAAAATCTCTCCCATTTGTTTAGTTCTAAAGAATAGATTGCAGGGTCTTTATCCTTAATTTTCTTCAAGATTAACTTGGGATGACAGTGTAGAGGGATGTGTGCATGTACACAAGAAATTCAAAGATATACTCCTGAAACAAATCCTTTGAAGATACCTTGTAAATTTATTAGTACACGTGTGCAGCACATAATGATTACACTCCGTGTGTGGAGTTGGTGCATGTACATAACACATCTTAATTCCTTTCTTCATTCTCTTTTTCCTCCCTTCCCCCCTCCTCTATCTCTTGATGCCCTTCCATTTAAGAAAGATCTATTTTCTATTAAGTATCATTTGTCTGCTCTTTATTTGTAATTTGGGTTTCTCATATAAGAGAAATCATGCAATAGTAAGCTTATGTGTCTGATTTATTTCACTTAACATCATCGTCTCAAGGAGCATACATTTTCATACAAACAAGTCAGCTTTATCTTTATGACACAGTAGTATTCCACTGTGAATTTTTACAACTGCAAGAAGGATATATATCCAAAATAAATGATTCTGTGGCTGGGTTAAATATTAAATACATTTTCTAGCTACTAAGATACTGAGTTCAACTCTCAGCACCAAAAGAAAAAAAAAACTGAATTTACAAAAGCTACTGGAAAGCCCCCTAAAAAAAGCAATTCTTGAAGCAATTAAAATAGCTATGTAAAAATATGAAACTTTCTTTCAGAATAAATGTGATGAGTTAACTAATGGTCAACTTGTAACACCCAGCTATATTGAATCAGCATAGTTCTGGGTATAGAAAGCCCATCTGAGGATTGTTGCCAACCACATAAAAAGAGAACTGGAGGGGGAAACAGCATGCCATTTATTCTTCTAGAGAAGTCTGTCATGCTAGTTTTCTTGATACAGACTCAGTTACTCTCACGGGAGGAGCTCTGGTCCTTGCTGTCACTGAGGATGAGTGCTATTCTCTTTCCGGGAACTCTAGTTCTTACCTTAAGCATCACTTCCTGGCTCCAAGGCAGATCCCTCAGCCTGCTGGCATAGATCCTTCATCTCACTGGTATAGACTTTCTAGCTTCCACCACTGACCACTGGGCTTTCTCAGTGCAGATCCTTGATATAGACTTGCATAAGACATCATCATGGGCTCTAAGTCTTCAGCTGGACTCATGCAGGATGTTGCTGTTGGATTCTTTAGGTCTCCAGTGCATAAACAGATCTTTACTCTTCTCCATTTGACTTTTTAAATGAATATTATAAAATAATCCTATAAAATATGTGTGCTGTATTAAATCTATTGCCCTGTAAACAGCAAAATACATGGTGTTTGTCTGATACAGTCTGATACAGTGTCCTCCTCATGAAATCCTTAAAAATGTCTGCCTACTACCTTCTGAGGGATTCTTCTGAAAGACTACATCTAGGTAGTTTTTGTTTTAAATCACCTGAATGAGTCCCACCATGGTAGGCAGCAGCCTCAAAGACAGAATTAATGGCTTAAATGGCCTCGCAGAAAAGCTCTATAGAATTAACACTGGCAACCTGGAATAAGTGGAGATTGGTTTAATCAGTAAGACTATCTATGTCTTGGTATTGTTCATGATGACAGAGATAAAGTCTCACTACAACCAATAATCAACCAAAATGACACAGCACCAGCACAGAAATTGAGAAAAGTCTAAAAAATGATGGCTATCCTTATAGCTAGATATGTGTTATACATGCAGGATAAACTTCTGTTGGTCAGGTATACACTGTATTCATAACTGTATCTCAATCTACCTGAAATGGAACACGCCAACTACTTTTGCTTTACTATTAAGCTAGCTAGTTAATAAAATCTTCTTTTCCTAATATTACCACATAGCCATATAATGAAATTCTTGTCACTTGAGATAATTCCAGAATCCCTCTGTGCCTTACACTATTAAAACCAAAAGTCAGGCCAGGGGTTTAGCTCATAAGTGCCTCTCTGGTAAGTGCAAGGTCATGAGTTCAATCCCCAATAGTAAAAAAAAGTCTACGATACCTAATATTTTTCATAAAACTACACATATTCTACAAATTAGAAGTCTCTTACTTCTAAGACTAAAGTAAAAGAATAACTTTCCAATTCTTTCCTCTATAATATAAATATGCTTAAATTCTTATTTGCAGCACCTATTCAGATTCCTTTCTATATTATAAAAATAAACAGCCTATTTTTAACACACTAGGCAGATCCTGACAAATGATGTAATACTTTTTATGTACCTTTCAGGAATAGATGATTTCCAACTGACCTCACTTTATATGTACATATATAACATAGAAATAACATTATAAGCATGGGTTCTTCCTCTTATTTTGTATGCCTTTTTATTAATTGAATAACACATTGTATTATGTAACCACAAGTAATCCATTTAGCTTTCCTAATAGTCCCTTTTCCTATTAATAGTGAAGAACTGTAATTCCTACATAACACCAAATGTACTAACACTGAAGTTATGATGACTCTACTAAAAGCCACCTATCATTATCAAGTCCTCGTAAAAACATAAAAACCACAATCACATTCAACCAAATTAGTTGCTTAATAATAAATAGGCTAACATCTATTCTAGAAGAACTAATGAAATCTTCCTGTTCTTAAGGACTTATATTTTCTTCAAAAATATAATTTAAGAATGCCCACTTTATGATTAAATTCAAATAAAAAATGAAATACTGCAAAAATACAAAGACCTGAATAACAGAGGATCACTGTTTAGTCTGAAGTAAACCAGTGAGCCTCACCTCAGGAACAGTATAGATTTGACTACTATTTAATCTATCTTAAACCATGTATTTTAAAATTTTTTACAGTACCAATTTATCAAGTGCAATGTAAAGAGTTCTTTTAAGAAACACAATCTAGTAATAATATAGGCTCAAATTTAACAACATTCAGCCAAAGCCAATAAGAGCCAAGGTGGTAGCGCATGTCCGTAATCCTAGCACTTGGAAGGCTAAGGCAGGAGGACTGTTTCGAGTTCCAGGCCAGCCTTAGTGGGTTTAAGACCAACCTGGAGTACAAAGCAAAACACAAACAAAACAAAATTAAGTATTTTCCAATAGCAAAAGTAGAAAATAAAGAAAACTGACCTACAGTTACATCAATTAAACCTATAAAAACTGTTTAGAATGCCCAAAATTATTTCAGTGTTGCTATTTATTTTGTATATCCCTTTTATTTTGTACAAAAATAAATTTACATAACCCTCCAAAATCATTCCCATAGGTTCTAAAAATATAAATAAATACAATAAGGAAAATGGAATGAAGGGTTACAACTTCAACTTAGATTGAAAAGAACAAACAAAAACTCAGTCAATAAACTAGTAATCTACTGTGGAAAAATACAGATAAAAGTAGTTGAAAATTATTATTACAAAAGATGTATCAAATAAAAATTTTTAAAACCACACACTGATCTTTGCGCTCATGTTTGTTTTCAAGAAACTGCAATGGAGCTTATCAGAATAAAGGCAGACTTCTCGACACAAACCATCAAGTCAAGAAGAGCCTGGAGCGAAATACTCCAAGCCCTGAAAGAAAATAACCTCCATCCCAGATTGATATACCCTACTAAACTGCCTCTAGAAATTAATGAAGAAACAATACGCTTCCAAGACAAAGAGGAACTTGGGAAATTCGCAATCACCAATCCAAGTCTACAGAGAATACTGCAGGGCATTCTAGAGAGAGAGAAAAGTACTAGGATTCCAAGAACAGTGGCAGAGAGGCCTCAATGAATGGAGCAGAAAACAGAATGAAGATAAGCAAACAACTGATGGCAAACAAGAGCATAACAGAAATGAGGCAGAGAAGATTTTATTCAAAACTGGTGTGACTGATAGTATCAAGTCTGAGAGTATAGGCAACTATACTGAAAATGACAAGACTCTATGATACACATTCTGGTTTGATAACTGTCAGTTTTTGAAGTTCTATACTATACACAAAGTTGTGTTTTTATTAATACTGTTACGTACTGATATATTCAATTATACTATGTCTGATGATATAGCCAATTCTTTTGGAGATAACAAGAGACAACACAAGAACTATGGTAGAACTCTTTGTACAACGATCTTATACATGTTAAGACTCATGCTTGTGTAGAATCTGTAAACAGTTTATGAGAACAGATCTTATGACACATGATGAAATGAACAGATACTTTGAAGAAAAAGAGACACTAAAATACCCTGAAGTGTCATAATGTGAAACCCAGCAATAGTATTATTCTTTGTTCAGAGTGGTATTAACCTGCTTGGGTTTATTCAATGTCAACATAATTGAAGATATGGATAGCTGCATGTATGTTTAAGTGTATAGGACTGACAACCATATTTCTAAGTTTTTGTTGGATAGTTGAACAGAACTGGTTGCAATCTCACTTTGAATCCCCACTTTATATGCTCCACTTCAGTATCTTGAATAACTATCTGTAAGAAGACAATTTGTAATCAGCAACTAGTGATTTCTTACTGTTTTTCTTTGAAATTATATATTATTTCTGTTTTCTGTTTTGTTTAGTCTTTCTTTAAATTTTAAAAAAAGGGCACTACAGTACCCAGTGCTCATCACAGAGTGTCATGATGTAAAATCCAGCAATACTATTATTCTTTGTTCAGAATGATAGTAACCTGCTTTAGTTTGTTTAATCTAAATGAAGATATGGATAACTGCATGTATGTTTAAGTGTACAGGATTGACAACCATGTTACTAAGTTTTTGTTGAACAGTTCAACAAAACTGTTTGCAGTCTCACTGATTGAATTCCCACTTTACATATTCCACTCTTGTACCTTGAACAAGTATTTGTAAAACAACAATATGTAAACATCAACTAGTGATTTCTGACTGTTTTTTTTTTTCTGAATGTATGTATTATTTCTACCTATTTTCTGTTTTCTGTTTTGCTTAGTCTTTCTTTAAATCAAATTTAAAAAAAAAAAGAAACTACAATGGAGTAGATGGGAAAAAAGAGAACTAGCTGGTATGTGTAAAATGGTGCAAACATTGTGTAAAACAGTTTGGTAGTTCCGCAAAACATTACACAGAATTACCATATGACCCTGCCAATCCAAAGTACATACCCAAAAGACACTGAAAACAGGTACCCTGTGAATAGCAGCACTATTTACAACAATCAAACGGTGGGAGTCCAAATGTCCACCAATGAATGAACAGATAAGTGATGACATCTACATACAATGGAGCACTATTCGGCTATAAAATGGAATTAAATACTGACACACGTTTTAACACTGATGAGTCTCAAAAATTTATGCTCCATAAGTGAAAGAAGCCAGATATAAAAGGCCACACATTATATCATTCCATTTATAGTCCCTGTTATCTACAATTTGCATTTCTGAGGTTTTAGTTTTCTGTGATTGATCTCAGACTCAAAATATTAAGGAGAAAATGCCAGAAATAAAGATTCACCATTATGAGTAGCATGATGAAATCTCACACCATCCCATTCAGGACATGAATGCATTTCTTTGTGCAGTACACCCACTGTAGGTTATGGTTATTGGATCAACTGCTTTGGTATTGCTCTGCTTGTATTTAGTAAACTTTACTTAGAAACCTAGTATCAAAATGCCTATATCAGTCACCTCATCATGCATGCACTGCATCATGTCACATCATTCAATGGAGAGGGGTGAGTAAAGTACAATAAGACACTTCGACAGAGATCGTGTAACTTTTATCACAGTATAAAAGTTCTATTTCAGGACTAGGGATTTATCTCAGTAGCATAAGCACCTGCCTGGCAAGCACAAGGTCAAGTTCAATGCCTAATACCTAAATAAATAAATAAATAAATAAGTGTTCTATTTTATTATTAGTTATTGATGTTAGTTCACCTAATATACATTAAACTTCAAGTATGTATGTATGTATGTATGTATAGGAAAAACATAGTATGTATACAGGGTTTAGTATTATCCAAGGTTTCAGAGATCCACTGGAGTTTTGGAACATATCTACCACAGACAAGGAGGGCTACATTATATAAAATATTCACAGTTAAGTAAATCCATAGAGACAGAGCTTATACTGGTGGCTGCAGAGTCTGGGGGAAGAATGAAAAGGGAAAAACTGCTTAATGAATATAGTATTTCTTCAGGGTAATAAAAATATTTTAAAACTACATACGGGTGGTGATTGCTTTATGAATGTACTCAATTCTAAAGAATCATTCACTTTAAAATGGCTCATTTTTCATTCTATCAATGTTACCTCAATTTTTTCAAGTTTTTTTAAAGAAAATATTAAGTCGGTTGTTACAAAATTTCTAAACCCGGGCCTCTATTTCTTCATCTGTGAAATAATTTGGGAACAGCATGTAACCAAAGTCCCTCTTACAAACTGATGCTCTGTACCCATAACACTGAAATTTTCAAGAACTGTTATCATCTAGAAATTTATCTGAAAGATAAAGCAAGATGTACTGGTTAATCATCTCACCAACCGTATCAGAGAACAGTTAGCAAATGTATCATAAATTCTTTGCATAATGACTTGAAGTAAAAAACAGACATTACAGGTAAAGGATAATTCAATGAAAGCAATTCTACAAACGGTATGACTAATGTGTTAAAACTGTATAATCTAGCAGTCAAACTATATACTGAAAGATAAAAAATAAAGAATATAACTGCAATGAAAAAATAATTTCAAAAAGTCCAGATATTAGAAGAAAAGTTGGATGCCATTACTCCCAGGCATTTTTTTCTACTATCACCTTTCAGGCTTTGAGAAGTACTGAGAATCATACCATCTGAGATCATCAATATTGGTGATGATAAGTCAAAAAGATTTATGGAACAACCCAACCTATTTTTATAAGGTTATATACTATAGCATAGCCAATTAAGAAAAGTCAAAAATTTCCTCAGGAAACAGCTCTGGATACATTCCAACATAACTAATGTATGAATTACTAGAATCCCACACCATATATTACAATAGAAGTCATTTGGGCCTAGAAATAGGCAGCAAAATGATGTCACCTGTCATAGCCAAAGAAAACAGCATTCCCACACACAGTCTGAGTCTGTAAAACTAAACTGGAAAATGTACCCAAAGATGACCGTGACAATTGACTTACTGGGCAGAGTTCTGTAACACACACCCACTGAGTTTTAGAAAAATCAGTAATATCCATACCCAAGCTAAACATCAGGTAAATCAGTGAAAGCCACTTAGAAAAGTAAAATAAGCATCACTTAGCATAACTGCACATCAGTTTGATAAGCATCTTGATAAGCACATCTACAGCTACAAATACAAGAGCTAAATGTAAACATGTATTGTACAACTCAGATATTAGAAGTATACTTTTGAAATAGCCTAAATATGCCTATCTCATCAAAGGCTGCATCTACCTATGGTCACAATCTTCAAGTTGTTTTGGGTATCACAGATTAAACACATGTAAA